TATGGCTGATCCTCAGTCCTGCCCTAAGAGGCCCCGGGTCTCAGTGTCCCATGGTAATCACTGCAAGCACCTCTGAGAGAAAGCTGCCCTCGAGTTCCGCTCGATGCCAGACAGTCCAGTTTCTCCCCGTATGAGTCTGGGTCGCCAGAGACTCGCCCGGAACTGGAGTTCAGAGCGGGATCATGTGTCCCCCTCCTGATTGAAAAAGACAACCACGTCCTCAGTTGCTAGCCCTTTCTGCGTGCGCCTCCGTACCTCTACACTTTACTTCCGCACCTCCTCTGAGTCTCAGTGTGCTTTTCTCTTTCCTTCTAGTTGTAGAATTTCCACTCAGCCAGCCTTCCTATGGTTCTGGATGATGTCCGTTTTGTCTTTTAGTTGTATTTTTGAAGTGGTTGTGCAAGGCAGCAATTTCAGGTGTTTACCTATGCCGCCATCTTAGTTTCTCTCCTCACTTAAATTTTCCCTTTCATAGTCTTTGATCAAAGATTTGGGATGGGCTTTAAGGATGAGCTATTTATTTATTTATTTATTTATTTATTATACATTTTCATTGATTTCAGAGAGGAATGGAGAAGGGAGAGAGAGATAGACACATCAATGATGAGAGAATCATTGATCGGCTGCCTCCTGCACGCCCCCTACTGGGGATCGAGCCCGCAACCCAGGCATGTGGGAATCGAACCCGGAACCCTTCAGGCCACAGGCCGATGCTCTATCCACTGAACCAAGCCAGCTAGGGCTAGGGTGAGCAATTTAAAACTGAGGAAGCAAAGGCCTCTTGTGGTAAGTAGAAAAGCCCAGAGCTCTGCAATGCTTGGTTTTTTATAGGACTATGAGCAGTTTCTCAGGAGTTCCCAGCTGGGGTGGGTCATGTTCTGCTCCATCAGGAGCACTGTGGATGTGCGGAGCTGTTGGTGGATGAAGAATGAATGGGGAAGTGGTATGACTGGGCATCAGGAATGCTAACCATTCTGTCACTCATGTAGGCAGAGCGATTGGTGATAGAGGAGTACAGTTGGAAATGAGGCTGGAAAATTGATTTGGTGCCAGAACATCAGAACTCTGTGATGCCACAGTAAAGAATCAGTAGAGCCGCCCTAGCTGGTTTGGCTCAGTGGATAGAGCGTCGGCCTGCGAACTGAAAGGTCCCAGGTTCGATTCCGGGCAAGGGAACATGCTCAGCTTGTGGGCTCGATCCCCAGTGGGGGACTTGCAGGAGGCAGCCGATCCATGATTCTCTCTCATCATGGATGTTTCTATCCCTCTCTCCCTCTACCTTCCTCTCTGAAATCAATAAAAATATATTAAAAAAAAAAAAAAGAATCAGGGCCTTCTGTAGGCAGTGGCAGCTGTTGAAGATCTTAATTTTATTTATCCCCAACTTTTCACTTAGTAAGATGTCAAACCACAGAAAGAATAGTAACAGTCACCCATATTACCCTTTCATTTAGATTTTCCAGTTATTAATGTTTTGCCATTTTTGTTCTCTCCTTTTCTGAAGGTGTGTGTGTGTGTGTGTGTGTGTGTGTGTGTGTACACACATAATGCATGTACATTTTTTTTCTGCTGAGCTATTTGAAATAAGTGGCAGATATCAGTGATGTTTTGCTTCTAAATACTTCAGGATGTACAACAAGAATATTCACTTCCATAACCACAATTTCATTTCTGTAGCTGAGAATTCAACAATGCACTAATATTCACCTTTCCTCAGTTGTCCATTGGTATGTTTGCATGTGTCTTGATTCACACAGTACAGGGCTCTTCTGAGTCCTAAGTCTCTTTTAATCTGCTCCAGCCCTCTGCCTTGATTTACCTGTTTTGTTTGCTTGCTTTACTTTTCATGACTTTGACTTTTGATGAATCCAGGCTACTTTTCTTGTAGAATGTCTCATATTCTGAATTTCTCTGATTGGTTTTGCATGATTAGGTTAAGTTGGAAAGTTTGTTCTTCTTAAGGGATGCTGTGTGCTGCTTATTTTATCACCTCAGGTGCCTTGTAAGGTCGTAAAGGAAGACCTTATACATATGTGGGGACATGGCACTGCTGGCACTAATGGGTGGGGCCAGAAATGCTAAATGTACAAAGAAGTGCCATTGCATTTCAAGATGTATGGAAGCAGAGTAATTGCCTATTGCTTTCAGAAGTTAATCATGGTGCCTGTGGGGTAGAGAGATAAGACAGGTGTGTGTGTGTGTGTGTGTGTGTGTGTGTGTAAAAAGAGAGAAGTTAAAGGTACAGGACTAAAAGGAAGGCTACAGATAGGGTAAGAGGAAGTCCAGCTCAAGTGGAGGAGGTAGTATAAGATGTGGAGAAAGTGTTTCAGATGAAAGGGAGGAAAGTTGAGGAATTACCTGTTGCTTTTTCTCAATTGATATGAAACAGGAGACAGAGGCATCTGTTGAGGATGAGACTTCCACTGTAAGCCATGGGATATGGGATCAGCTGCTGGTCAATAAATGGATTGATGAGCATTTGATGGCCTAAGAGAAGTCAGAAAACCAGGCAGTCCACATGGTTATGTGATTTTCTCTAGCCATGTTGGCAAAAAGAACACAAATGCTTCATGATTCACAGGTTAGCAAACATAAAATGGGACGAGAACATATTTTAAGCTAAAGACTCTAGGCTGATGTATATTGTACACAAATCACCTCATTGAAGCAAGTGTACCTGGTGGTGTTATGATGTGTTTTTCTTTTTGGGTAAAATAGAAGTCACTCAAACTAGGCAAATTGGGGGAGTTTCTTATAAGTTGATGATGAGTAAGTCAAATCGCACAGTGACTTATAACAAGGATTGTGCTAGTGCAGGGCCTCACTGCAGTTGGAGCAGGGCTGAGTATGGGTGTCACAGCTGCTCTGGGGCCCTAGTAATATGAAGGGGCGCTTCACAGGGTGCCCTTCTGTAGTCTCACTTGGCCACAACTCTTTTTTTTTTTTTCTGTCAAACTACCACCTGGAGGATACTCTCTTTGCTCCTAGTCATTTTCCTGCAAAATAAACCACTTGATGCAGTTCGCCTTTTTTTTGCATAGGTTTCTGGCCAGCTTATGGATTACCTTTCTTTGGAGTTATATTTCACCCCGACCTAATAAACTGTAACTTGTTGGCTGGGGTTTGGTTGACATGTAGTGCTCTGGGCAGTGTCACCCCTTGAGGACTATGGATGGGCAGGCGCAGAGACGTTCATCCTGGTTATGCCCTCCTTCCTTTCTCTGTTCCTGCACACTGTTTTCTCGCCACACACAGTCTTAATGATGCTTCTGCCAATGTGTTCTAAATCTCCTCCACACAGTCACAAACACACTGTCTTCTCCAGGCAGGGATGCCACTTACACTCGCGTCCGTTTTCCCACAGACAGATGCCTAAAGCTGCTGGAAGACTGTATGTGGGGTTCATGGCCTGCACTCTTCTTGTGCTGTCCACTTGTGCTGTGTCTTGGTCAGAGAAGGGCTGGGAGGGGCGCCATTGTAACCATGGGACTCGTGCAACCCTGGCCCCTAAGTACACAGGTGCCATCTCCACTTGGTGGTCCGGGGTGTTCACTCGGTCCCACACTATTGAGCAGCTTTTTTGCACATCATGTCAGTGACGCCATTAAATGAAATGGCAAGGGTGGTCTGAGCTTCAGGTGAAATAGTGTCATTCTCTGTCACCTGGTAGAGATGCTCCAGAATTGTGGGGGATGGAATGAAAAAATTGTAGAAAATGTCTGTAGGGGCAACAAAGTGCACTGTCTTCTCCTCTACTGTGGTTTTCAGACCAGAAGTCTGAGGTTGGGGCACTGGGAGAGCCAGTCCTGTTCATTGGTCACTGGCCAGCTTGTGGTCTCTGCCCTGTAGTCAGGGATCACCCCATCTCCTTTAGTGTAACTTAGAATTCCTGATATGGTGATGTGTCAGAACCAGTTACATTGAACTGGACTTACTTAGTTTCCTTTTATAAATGTATGTGATAGAGATTTTTGTTATTTAAAAAAAGTGTCACAAAATAAGAGCGTGTAATTTGTTTATCTTTCAGTGCAATTATATTAATGTTCCAACTACGGTGTTTACTCCTCTGGAATACGGCTGCTGTGGATTATCTGAAGAGAAAGCTATTGAAATACATAAAAAAGAGAATCTAGAAGTAAGATTATGTTTTGTTTACTAAGAATCTCTCTTTTAATCAACTGTCTTCTCAGTCACTTTATTTTGTCATTTTGCAAGTGATTATAATGGCTATACTATAGGAAACCAGCCTATTTTAGAAAAATTAAAAATTAAATAATTTAAACCCTATCTCTCTTGTAAACTAATAATACGGTTGGGGAAAGAGAGATGTTTACTGTATGCATTAGGACTTTTGAATTACAGGTAACAAATATCTACTTGAGTAAGCTTACACAAGGAAGCATAAGTTATTATGAGATTTTTGGGGGAATGTATCAAGGCCTTAGGAAGGGCTAAGAACCAGGAATTGCAAGACCGTCTCACCTCTTTCTTTTACTTGCTTGGGGTTTATGTGTATGTTTGTGTGTGTGCATGTAGTTCATTCCTCTCTTCCTGCAGATAGACTTTATTTGCTCCTAGAATGCACAAAGCAGCCAAACTATAGCCATTCTTTTGCTCCCAAGTTTATCTGATAATTCTGGACATAAGAGGAACTGATCAACTCACTGTTTCTCAGTCTTAATTCAAAATTGGTCCGAGTCGGGTCTGCCATCCAACCACTTCCATTCCAGACTCATGGAGTGTAAACATGGCTCTTGGAACCTACACTACCAGTGGACTCTAGGTGGGAAAGATGGGCAGTTCCCAAGGTTTTCGTTGGCTGTGGGCCATTTAGACTCTGACAAAGATGTCCTCCATACATTTATTTCCACCTCTCCTTCACCACTGCTTCATTTACACACAACAACCTTATAAATATTTTTCTACATTTTGGTGGGTGGCTTGAGTATCTTTTTTCTGCACACTCTCCCAACATAGGAAGTATAGAGAGGAAAAAGAAAAGAGTTGGAGGATTATTACTACTTGAGGTTTTAAGCAAAAGAGTGTTGAAATTTCAGTTCTCTCCCTTAAAGACATTTTAATTTATTACTGGGAATTTCCTTAAACTATAGCACTGATATTTCCTAATTAAATGGCCTAATGGCTTACTGAAACTCTTACTTACACTTCTGGTGTTGGGAAATGTCTGATTAAAACTTTATATTGTTGTATCTTAGGGAATAGGGAGGCCCAAGGAAAGGGAGAGAGATGGGAGAACACCAGTTTGGTGGAGCAGTAAGAACACACACATTTATCAGTTAACTTTGCCATCTTACATGGGTATGGTTCATGGCGCTCCAAAACAATTATAATAGTAACTTTAGAGATCACTGTTTACACATCACCATAACAAACATAATAATAATGAAAAAGTTTGATATATTGCGAGAAATACCAAAATGTAACATAGAGACAAAAAGCAAATGCTATTGGAAAAATGGCACTAATAGACTTGTACTACCCAGGGTTGCCACAAACCTTCAAGTAAAATCATGCAATATCCGCGAGCACAATGAAGGGAAGCACAATAACACCAGGTATGCCTGTGCAGTTGAGCAAAATCATCTCGCTGCTGTTTCTCAGCATCACAAGAGAGTATCTTACCTCTTATTGCTAGCCCAGGGAAAGATCAAACTTCAAATTTTGAAGTACTGTTTCTACTGAAAGCATATCACTTATACACCATTGTAAAGTCAGGAAATCGTAAGTTGAACCATTGTAAGTCAGGGACCATCTGTAGTTTAGAATCCTTTTTTTTTTTCTTTTTTCAATCCTGGTACCAAACATTAATCCATTGCTTTCTATATGGGTAAATTAGGAGGAACAATTCTGGGAAAATGTATAGCTTCCCCAAGCAGGATGGAGGTCACATTGTGTTTTGCTCTGGGTCTTAGATGATTGAGCCAGATTGAGAAGCCTGAGCAGTGTATTCGGGGTGCTAGAGTAAGGGCTTTCAAGTAGCATAGGTAATGTTCTTAATATCTTTTAATGGGGTTGAATTGTTTCTGCTCTTCCTACATTTGGTTTGACAATGAACCTTGTAAGAAGGTTGTAAACTTGTCAAAGACAGGATCTAAGTCTTTATTTATCTTTTCAATCCACACACAGCCTAGTGCATTGCCTTGGATGGCAGTACTCTATAAATGTTTGAGAATTGAATTTAGTTAATAGATTTTTTGGACTAACAGTAGAGCAAAACAAAGATCAACACACTTGTGCAGCTGGCATTTTAGGAGCTCTGGCCTAGGTACTCCAATCAGCTATATAAAGTTGGGATCATAGAACTCTAAATTTTTGAAAGCTGTTATAGAGATTATTATCTATAATAATAAAAGGGTAATATGCTAATTAGACTGGATGTCCTTCTGGATGAAGCTGGGGCCGATGGAAGCCCGGGTCCCAGGTGCCAGAGGGAAGCTGGTGCCTGCAGCCGGGGGAAGGAAGGCCTACTCTTACATGAATTTCGTGCATCTGGCCTCTAGTGTTTATATAATTGAAGAGCATATCAAGGAGTGATTTTTATATATGCTAATCTTGGCCTCTTTCTCTCTCTTTTTTGTCTTCTAGGTATATCATACTTTGTTCTGGCCCCTTGAATGGACAGTAGCCGGCAGAGACAACAATACTTGTTATGCAAAGATAATTTGCAATAAAGTCGATAATGTGCGTAATGTGATTGGAAGCTGAAATGCTATAATTTTAAAATGTAGCTTTTATTCTAGTATGTGGGTTTTTACGATCTCTTTAAAGGTAGTTTTCAGGGAAAGGCATAAATCCTTCAAATTATTACCCAGTTAATGTGTTTGCACTGGTTGAACAAGTGACAGATTGTGATTGAGGCTTACCAATACCTTCTCAAAATAATCATTGAAAGTTGGCTCTTTCTGACCTAACTGAGCAGTTTAGAACCAGATCATCTGTGAAAATTTTGATCATCACCTAACAAAATGTAAGGTATATGTTTGTGTGCATTTTGTAAAGTGAATGTGTGTCACAAAGCCTTTACAAGGAGATGCTTACACAAAGTGAAAACTTTAGTTAATTAACTAATTCCTAATGAAGCAATTCATTAAAGAAGAATCAGTGGAGTGGAGAGCCGGTTGTTGCAGCCTTCTCTGCCTTCCCTGTTATTGAGGTGAATGTGAAACTGACAACAGATGCCTGATTATCGGAGTTTAAAGCACAGTTTATTTAGGACTGGTTGTATAAAGAACACTGAGGGTAGAAAGCAGCATTAGCACTTGGTTCCTCCCTTTTTAAGAATTTATAATTTATCTGGAGAGATCAAACACAAAATTAGATGCATGTGAACAGCAATAGCTGACATAAAGTTTACAGAGTAATCTGAGGTTGCTGTCATGAAGTTGTGGGTGCATTTCCAAAGGGAGCAGGCAGAGACTATGCACTGAGGCCCCCTAAGGTGAGCAGGAATGGGGTTCAATTATTTCTGACCTCTTGACAGAGTTGTTGACTGTGGCTCTCGGGCCTGAGGCAGAATTTCCAGGTCTGTTTACCCCTCTTTTTGACCCCCGTCTCTGTCCTTTGCCACTCCTCTGCTCTCCTTCAGCTGTGCCCACGATCCCTGTTTGCCCCTCCCACACACGTGCTCACTGTCGTCAGGAGAGCATGTTAATTTCTTTTACTACTGTCCATATTTCTGTTTCTAGGGGACCATCCTACTATGAATTTTACTCTAGCTATGTGGTAAAAATTGGGAATTAGGTTTTCACTCTCACAGAATCTGCCTTCATTTTCATTTTTAAATGATGGTGGTGGGTCATCAGATGTTTTTACTCTGTCTGACTTCCTGTCTTTTCCCAGTTTTCTGTGTGTACAATGCACCACCTCAGAGATTCCAATTCAGTCTTCTGTGAGGCCCTGGGAACTCCACTTTTCACCCAGATCCCCTGTGGCCTGTGACTGTCCTTCTAGAAACACTGCTCCTGGAGCTCTCCATTTCAGCACCACCAGTAGATGTGTATGAGTTGGCTGCTTTGAACTATTGTTCTTTCTCTAGAAGAATATGAGGAGGCAAGACTTTGTGCCAGCCTTAAGACCTCTGAAGCTCTTTCTTTCTCTTGTACACTTTTACTATTGAAGATCGAAACAAAGACTAGAGTCTGATGAAAAACATGGACAAAAGGACATCCTAAATGCAGTGTACCTTGGAAATACACTGAATCTTTTTAAAAAAATATTTTTAATGAATTTTTTTTTTAGAGAGAGAGAGATATCCTTTGGCTGCCTCCTGCACAGCCCCTTCCAGGGATCAAGCCTGCAACCCAGGCATGTGCCCTGACTGGGCATCCAACCGGGATGATGCCCAAACAACGGAGCCACACTTGCCAGGGCTACACTGAATCTGCTTTCTGTCTCAGTGGTCTGCTCATCACGCGTGCCTTGCAACTTATAACATGCAGTCCTCGGGAAAAGCCCCCATCCCCACTGCTCCTTGATCTTCCCTTAGTTATTTAAGGAGCCAGGCTACTTGCTTCCTGGACTGGGAATCTCTGCAATGCCAGTGAAACCTACTCTGCCTTAGAATGATTCCAGTGTTGGACTTTAATTCAGATTTGTATGTTGTTATTTAGCACTATCTCAGCATAATTCAGAAATTGCTACCATACATATTAATGAGCTCTTTCATGCAGAGGGTAAATTGCTCGTTTCTAGTAAATTGAGTGGAGATTACTCTGGATGTGCATTTACTGGCTCATTTAACAGATTGTTACAGTGGCTCAGTTTCATGGCAATGTTCTATGCTGAGTTCAACATTGGTTCTTTTTCTGTATAGATGCTGTCAGTTTGAACTATGACCTTGCAGTGATTAGGTTCCTATTCAGATCATTAACCTACTGGGCTTCCCTTTGTTTTGTTTTTCTATTAAAGAATCGGGTGATAGGATTTCATATTCTTGGACCAAATGCCGGTGAGGTTACCCAAGGATTTGCAGCTGCAATGAAATGTGGGCTCACGAAACAGCTACTTGATGGCACTATTGGAATTCACCCCACATGTGGTGAGGTACAGAAACGGGAGGTTTTTTTAAGTTGACTTCAGTTGTTGCAGTTTGAAAACTATTATGAAGCACATTGTCAGAAAGTTTTTGTATTAGTAACTACTTTGCATATTTTAAGGAGAATAGATATATTCAGAATGTGTTTTCATAAAGCAGTACTGAAATATTGTTGGCTAAACACAAATTTGTTTTCTTCCTTTCAAACAGGTATTCACCACTTTGGAGATAACAAAGTCATCGGGACTGGACATCACCCAGAAAGGCTGCTGAGGCTAGGCCTGCTGCTATCTAGTCTCCCCGTCTATTCTCATTCCTTTCAAAGATAAGAACGCTCTCAGACCCAGCGAATCTGTGACCGGGGCACCTGCTCTGTTACAGGGCCCAGTGCAGGGCTTTCTTCACAGCACGTAGATGAGAATATAGACAAGGAGACAGGCAGCAGCAGGCATCTGCTCAGTGGTCTCAGCTGACGGGAGAGGCAGTTGCACTGCTTCCTTGACGTCTTAGCTCGGAACTCATGTGAAGTGAGCTAAGACCAATACTCTTCCAAGTCAGAACTGAGCTTTCTTCTCAAAGACCTTTTAATGACATAACTAATCTAAGTCAACCTTTCTGGTTGAAAGTTTTTATCTTTTTGCTTTGTTGTTTCTAAGAAAATATTTTTTCAGTTATGAAACTATAAAATGGTGATCTTCCATCGTGTGGGCGTGGAATTCTCACGGGGTCACTGGTGAGTGGTGTCTGCGGAAGTGCCCTCAGGTAGCTGGCTGCTTCCCCCTCCCTGGTTCCCTGATGGTAACCACCTGGGAGCCATTCTTCCCTTAGTGTCTCTAGACCGAGCAGAGTATCTCATGACAGAGAGAGAGGCTTGTGATTCTTTTTCATGTTGATCTTAAGAGAAATATTAAAAAGTTTCACTGTATTATTTGAACTTTATTTAAAGCTTTAAAATGATTCCATCTACAATCTGTTTAATTATAGTCAAGTTCAGTAAATGACCAGGTGATATGAGACGATTCCATTTGAATGTATAGACCTGTCAGCATCTGGAAGGCCCTTGCAGTGGAAGGGCCTATCCAAAGTCCTTGAAAAATCTTGTTTTCTTGAGGAACATAGCACACAGCGGCCCAACTCAAGGCTCTTTTAGGTAGCACTTGCCTTAAGATTGGATAATTCTATGGTCGGAATTTCTAAGAACATGTTTTAAGAGAAAAAATTGAAGCCAATAAACAATTAGGGAACTCATTCTGTAGACAGGACATTTTGCTACCCTCCCCAGAGGCAGAGAGTGGAGTGGGAATAAGGACCCAAGATAACTGACATAGGATCCCATGACTGAGTTGCTTTTTCACTGGGTAGAGTAGAATGTAACTGTCAAAAAAGTGAGGCAGGGTGTAGTAATTGCCAGAACTGAGGTAGAAACAGCGTAGTGGGAAACAGGAAGATGTTATGAATTTTCACTGGATGTGAGGCAGGGGTGGGATCACTGAACAGAGTTTACTGGAAGCAGCGATATTAGAACTGAATCGTGAGGGATGAATAGAATTTCAAATACATGGAGAAGGCTCTGAATGACACTTTCAATAAATTCAACTAAAATACTAGATAAAATCATTTTTTAAATGTTGTTCATGTATTTTAGAGCCACATGCACATACACAGCCACGGGTTTCCAGAACCCCAACTGAAATGAAACCAGGAAGCATAGAAGTCTTGAGTTCTGCTTTGCACTGGGCGTAGGATAGTAAACTTAAAGCCCAGGCTTGCCCCAGGTGGACTTTCTAATAAGACCTCTGTGTAAAGCTGGGCTCCCAATGGGCTATAACCCCAGTGGGAGGGTGATTGAAATGCACTTTTCCTCACAGAAGGAAGCAGCAAAGAAATTTGCCTGTCTTCTCACTGGCATGGGTGGGAGAAAATATTCCACCCCAAGAGTCTCTAACCACTGTGCAGGTTACAGACCATTGGAAAGGCTAGTTATCTTCCCTTAGTAAGGAGGAGAGAAGGCTTGGATATAAACCTCTGTAACTGGCTCCCATTCCCTTCTTCCATGCTACCTGTCTCCCCCCTCCCCCCCCCTTACTTTATCTCTTCTCATCCTTATCTTTCCTCCTCTCCTGGAGTAAAGGTGGGCTCTATATAATGGAGAGAGATCCGTTTTTCCTGGAAGATACACCTTGTATGCACCTAATAACAGATGCTTACAGATCTATCTACAAGGAAATGAACATCCTCCATTATAGTAGAGATTTTAACATACCTCACTAATTTATTAGATCAAACAAAAAATACCAGCAAAGATAATTTTGAATAGCACAATTTACAAACTCGGTTTAATGAACTTATGAAGAAGACTGTCTAACATGAATACTTATTCATTTCAAGTGCACATGGAATATTTATGAAATTTGCCATGTACTAGTAGCTCAAAAAATTTCAAAAGACTGGTATCATATAGAGATTTTAGCCATGAGACTAACACTGAGAACCCAGAGACCTTAACATCCATACAGTATTATGGAAAGTGGAGTATGGAGGTATTGTGAGGTGAGTGAGAGGTTAATGGGAGATCAAGCTAGAAAGAGCCAGGGTAGAGCCAGGAACCAGTCACAAGAAGCAGGGAATTATGGGAAGATCCTAAACTTTGAAGAATAGTAGACTTGCGAATGCCTAGCCCCACTACTTACTAGATGCGTGAAAAAATAAATTAACTTTTCCTATTCTTGATTTATTAAGTGTTGACTGTATTGGATGTTTCACAGAGTTATAACAATTGAGTACATTTATAAAGTTTTCAATATATAGCATATTGGTGTAGAGCAGGGGTCCTCAAACTTTTTAAACAGGGGGCCAGTTCACTGTCCCTCAGACCGTTGGAGGGCCGGACTCTGGTGTAGAGTGTCTTAGCTTCCACAGTGATGAGCAGGGGCCTTATTTAAGGAAAGCTCTTATAGACACACAACAGTGTATCCAATAGGTAAGAGACCCATTGACAAATCTGTGCTTTGGCAGCCTCTGAGTTGGGCTCAGATTGGATTCTCCAACTATGGGTAGTCACTTCCTTGTGTGATCCCCTCCTGTAATGGGCCAAGGCTGGTCTGTGTGACACGTAACATACGGCAGAAGAGGTTTGTCACTTCTAAGATTAGGTCATCAAGGACTGCAGCTTAAGTTTTGCTCACTCTCAAGCACTCTCTTGGATCGCTTGTTCTGGGAGAAGGCAGCTGCCATATCATGAAGGCCCAGATGCTGAAGAACTGAAGTCTCCTGCCAACAACAAGAAATTGAGGTCTGTCAGCATCCATGTGAATGAGCTCGGAAGTGAGTATTTCCCCAGGCAAGCCTTCCCCTAGCCAGCAGCTTGACTGCAATCTCCAGAGACAGTGGACCAGAACAATCCAGTTAGGCCACCCCCAGATTCCTGACTATCAGAAACTGGGATAATAAATATTTTTCTAGCCACTACGTTTTGGAGTAATTTGTTACACAGTAATAGATAAGTTCATGGAAAATTAAAATTAGTACAAATGTCATCAGATACCTAAAAGGTCTTAGATTCTTTTCCTAGGGCAGACAAAATAAACCTCACATAGATTTGGGATTTCATCAAAAAGGGTTTGGATCTCAGATTTAGCACTGAATTTTTTTCATACTTGCAGACAAGGAAACCCTATGCAGGGAAGCTTATGGGCCTTAGTGGAGAACCTTCTAAATCCATGGGCTTGGACCTTGGCTGTGGTGGTCCCCTGCTGACCTTCCTTGGAGCACCCCTGATTGTCAAAGCTCCCTTATGGGCCTTAGTGGAGAACCTTCTAAATCCATGGGTTTGGACCTTGGCTGTGTGGTCCCCTGCTGAACTTCCTTGGAGCACCCCTGATTGTCAAAGCTCATGAAAGATTGCTTGGGAAGCCATTCACATGAGCAAGGGAAAGCAATACCTTCATAGTCTCATCTCAAATAGGAGTTAGGGAAGGACACTTAAGAGTATTGGAGGGGAGGGGCTAGGGCTAGTCAAGGGGTGGTTATATGGCAGAGGTAGGTGAGTGGGTCTGGGCAGTAGTTGGTCAGAATTTTTAAACGCTGCTGGAGCAGTGTCAGTGTTCCTTACGATTTGAGACATATGAGACCATATTGAGTTCCTGTTAATGTAGTCTTCTCTTGGGATATACAGGTCTGAATGAGCTAGTGTTAAAATAGCTCAAGCACCCTGGCCGGTTGCTCAGAGGTTAGAGTGTTGGCCCGCAGACTGAAGGGTCACGGGTTTGATTCAGGTCAAGGGCATGTACCTTGGCTGCAGGCTCCTCCCCAGCCTGGGCCCTGGTTAGGGCGCATGCAGGAGGCAACCAATCAATGTGTTTCTCTCTGTCTTTCCCTCTCTCTCCCACTCTCTCTAATAATCGATGGGAAAATATCCTTGGGAGAGAATTAATCAAAAACAAACAAACAAACAAAAAAACAGCTCAAGCTTTGGTAATTTGTGTATGATGAGCTTTAGTACACTTTATAGGTTTTTAGTAATAGTGCAGTTTTTCAAATTGCGGTTTTATTTCCCAATGGAGAACTATCTGACAAGGAGACCTATTAGGACTTTATTGCAAGAGATAATCAAATATTTATTGAGACATATGCTTCCACCCATGCTGGAATAACAAGTATTATACTTAACATTTCTCTCTAAACAAACGAAATGTGGAACTGCTTTCAGGCATGGAACAATAAGACAGCGCAGAACTGGGATTCCTGAGAGAAAGGAAACAAATGAGGTGATTCCCTACAGTTGCCCCAACTTTCTGCATGGAAGTAATTTTCAGACTATAAACTCAAGGGAGAATCCAAACAGAGCTTGACAAACTTGCTAAATTGAGATAGAAATTGGAGTTCGAGGAGGTTGAGGCAGCTGTACATTGTGGGGGAGGCATAGGTGAGATCTATACAGAGAAGAGGTCCAGAAATCTGCACAGGATCCCCTGAGTGCTGAATTCTAAGCCACACATCCTCAGAGTAAAATTCTAGAAAGGCAGAAAATGACAGGGAGTAAAAGCTGAACAATTGCCTTGGCTGCCACCGCCTGTTCAGCCATCCCTGGCTCCTCCCCGCATCCGCTCCTGCTGGCTTAGCTTCTTGGATCACCACCACGCAAGGACAGAGCGGCCAAGTGTAAAGATTACCCACCTGTTCCTGCTGGCCTCGGGAAACAGTTCCGCATATCCCAACCCTTTCAAGGGCCATCTAACTGGTGTGTTGGGGAAAGAGGTGGGACTCCTGCCTTCTCCCACAGTTGGCTGTCTGCAGCTGGGGCCCTGGTCTCATCAGCACCCTGTGAGGAGGCAGGGTCTGGGACCCCCATGCTCCCCAGAGGAGGCAGCCTGGGTCCAGGGCCTCACCAAGCACTGTGAACACAAACCCAAGTGTTGAGGCCCCAAGAGGACTTCAAAGAAGGAAAATGTCAATAATATCGTGTCCCTGCTCCTGCAGTCACAAGCCAGACTCCAGCTTGGGAGGGGTTCTCTCACTGGCCCCAGCTGCTGCCTGGGTGGTCTCCTCCACTGCAAACACAGCTGAGCTTGGGTTTCTGTGTTTAACAATATGCAGTGCGAGTTGACTCTTTAATGGACGCCTGGGCTCCAGATTAGAATTTTGGGCAGGATTCAAGGTCCCAAGATCTGAGTGTGACTGCCTTTCAGGTGGGGAGAGGAGGGAGGGTTGAGTTATCATTTGTTCTTCTCAAAACAAACCCATTACCCAGTCAAAGACTTGGCTCACAATCATAATGTCGGGGGTGGGGGTTGGGGAATGAAGAAATATTGAACAGGACAGAGGGTTTTGTCCACACTGGAGACGTAAACATTTGGAAACTCGTTGCACCTGTGCTGAATATGAAGCTCCCCAAACTCTGAGGGCACATGTGGTTTCAGCACCTACATACCCAGTTCATCACTCCAGCCCAAACATGCCTTACCAGAAAGCATGGGCTTCCTGGGCTGCTGGGATACATCTCTGGATGTTCAAAACCTCCAAGGGCTGTGAAATCCCAAAAGGAGCCTAAGTCTCCTGGGAGCCCGCTGCTGCTCTTCCCCCTAGCTACCACATGATGGCAACAGGGAGCCAGCTCCACCAATGTAGGGACGGACTAGGCAAGGCTTCGCTGCCACAGGGGTTCCAGGCAAGATCTCCGCAGACTCACACAGGTGTGAGGTGGCCCAACGAGCAGGGCTTCACTGGGCTGGTTTGGGCTTTAATCTTTGGCCCAGGCAAAGATCACATTTCTCCCAAGTTGTGACTGTTTTCTCCAACCCTACAATTTAGGATCCCTCCACATGATGCACTCCCTCCATACCCTACTCCCCATGTAGTCCCTCACGCTGTGTACTGCTATGAAGGTAAGCCAGGCTCTCCATCTCTCTCATTCATAACCGCCTGGCATTCTAAGGCCATTTGGCAGCAGTGGAAACTGAGGCTCAGAGACTCAGTGAGATTCCAAGATCAGACAGCCCCACAACGCGGAGCAAATGGCAAAATGAATTGGAAAAACTCTAAACTGTCAGAAAGTAACAAAAGTCATTTATTTCAATAACATGAACTCCCCAGATCACCAAAGTCCTATAAAACTTGCCATCATATTGCACCCTGGACTCTGTGGGCACACAGAGGCAACCTAGCATCTGGCCAGACTAAGACCAAGGGTGGGGCCAGGGCAGGGCCAGCAACAGGAAAGGTGCCCCTGCTCTGTGACAGGCCGCGTGAAGGCGGCTCACAGCTGACTCCTGTGCCCGGCCCGTGGACAAGGATGGCCCCAGCCTGAGTCCTGCAGGGGAGGGCTTCTCTCTTTGGCCAGGGCGGTCCTTGCCAGAGCAGGTGAAGTGGGGAGGGAATTAGGGTGGCACAGGCTGCCTTGAGCCAGCGTTCTGCTCTGTTACACCATGGACAGGTTCAGGGACAGAGCTGACAAAAACAGCCTCTTTGCAACTTAAAACCCTATTATCCAATCCTCACCCACGCCAGCTAGAGCAGTTACTAACTGAAGCAACATCAAGCGACAGGCACGACAGGGGACAGGCACACAGTTATACAGCAGCTGAGGTGGGCTGCACCCGAAACCGCCCCGGTGTGATGTCGGCCCAGTGCAGTGGTTGTCAAAAACTCCCTTTCTCGGGGTCCCCCACCCCTGGCCTCGGAGCCTCTGCAGTGCACGAGGCCCTGTGGGGAGCACCGCAGGCTAGTGCAGCCGCAGGTAGGAGGGGGCGGAGTAGTTGAAGAGCAGGAAGTCCATCTTGTAGAGGTCAAAGAGGCGCCGCTGATAGAAGGGGCTGATGTCCTGAAAGAGGCGCCTGGCCTGGTCCTGGGCCGCGG